GTGGTTTTACAGCCCTGCGTACTAATTATATCTCGTACTATTTGATTTGTAATGGTTGATTATATTCTCAATTTATCAGGTCTGGTGAAAAATTTGAAATAGGTTTTAGACAAAATACTAAACACTAAATATTTCTATAAGCAAACATTATTTGCAATTATTGTTTCATTTAATACTTAAATCATGAGCAAATATTATTTATTATTTACACTCGGGTTTAATGCAAATAAATTTTGAGTGAAATGGGATAAAAATACACTCAAAAATAGGGGTAGTTTCTAAATCCTTCAATAATACTTATATAACACGTCTTTAAATATAGTCAAGAATAATTTAGTCACCACAGTTGAAAGTCAACGAAAGATGTAATTCTACTGGTGTTCATTAAACGAAATAATGAATTAATTTAAAGATTGCGTCTCGTGCAAGGTCTAGTTAATCCGTAAATAATACATTTCAATTAATTATACTCATTCAAGAGTCGATGATATAATTTTTATTTTCTTAAGTAATGACGTTGCTAACGATACTTAAATGTCGTGAATAAATTAACATCCATTCAAGAAAACGTACCTCTCTGAATGCACGGTTTCTGCACGCCGGAACGTTGATATTAACGCAGCGCATACCTGTAATCATACAATCATAAGGATCTAATATTTTCGTTTCTGTCAAATGAAGCGAGAGCAACTATCACCGCGTTTCTCCGATAACAATTACCGTAAAAAAAATATAAAATTTTCGAGAAACCTCAACATGGACTTTCTAGACACGGAGATAGCATGAAAAGAAATTAATGCGAGTAGAATTTGATACGCACAAACCGGTACATTTACTTCGCTACATTATCCATAATTTAATTTCTAAATTAAAACGGAACCGTCCAGCAATTAAGACTGACATAATAATAAATTGCACTGTTCTAGACGAGGTAGATATCACGTTAAACATTTTGTTGCAACGTGAACACTCTCCACGCGAGGGTTGAAGCAAACTCTGACATTTTCAAAGAATTATTTAAAATAGTCTCTCGTCAGCCGGCACACTGTTTCGATCGGTATTTACGTTATTATCACATTGTTCACAGTAATGATAAGCTCACCGTAACCACATGCACGACCCTCATGTTTGCTTGATCACACTGAATCCCACTAGATCACTTCACCGGCCCGACTATGGGAACGGTTGTTCATCGACGTCTTTTAAAGCTTCCACGGAGCGGCTGACACGACCACTGTTATACCAGGCTTGTCAACATTGTTTTGCGTACACATTCACACACGCTCGCGGTACCCTTGCCGTTAGTTTTCTCTAATGGATGGAAAAAAGCTGCCCGATCCGGTTAAGTTCATTACACTTAACTTCCCTGGAAGTCTTCGAACGGGTCTGAGAAGAAGAACTATCCTCGCCTGAACGACGGAAATTGAAAGTTTTGATTGAGTTGTCGGGGTCGCTGTTTCCAATCACAATCTCGTTTAAAATAATTTCCAGTCGTCTCGATAACAAGAACCCTCTACACAAAACGATAAACGTTAAAGTATCTTATTTCCTTTCATAAAACAAGATTTAACCCCACAGAGATGCGTACGATTTTTATTTAGATTCTGAATCGTTAGTTTTTCTATAAAAATTACGAAAAGTTTGATGGAACAAATTGCTGTACAGTTTTTATTCGTCTTTTGCTATTCGAATAAAGATCAACAGTCAAAGTTGGTTATAACGAACAGTAATATTACAGTAAATTGATAGACAAATAGGAACTATGTTAGGGAGAAAAAATAGTGAATAGAATTCTATTCAACGTGGTTTTTAATTAAAGAAAAATGATTTGAATTTAATATCAAGTGCATGGTGTTTATTATTGCTCGTTCTCGATTGAAATCTGTACGAATGAATAATAAACACGATGTTTTATTCGTGAATAGTAAAATTCGCGTTTAACGATTTCACCTTAATATTTCTCTAATATTCCAAAATTGGTACGTTGAATCGATGCAGTATCCTCGTTATAAACTAAGCAGCTGTATACGTAGGTTTTTGCTTGTTAGTCGTGATTTCGCTATATCCATACTCGTTGTAACCAAGTTCGACTGCCAATAAAGACACGCGTCGAGAATGGCTCGTGCTTCTCGACTCTAAACCATTTTCTTATATTCGACTGTCAGAAACTTGCTCAACGATGCACATTTTAAAATAAAAAATATTGAAAAATCAACAATTTTTACCAGTTTTAAAAATTGCAGGTTGCAGGGTTAAAACAGTCGATCGTAATGAATGTAATTAAATTTGTTACGCAAGAAACGCATGGACTAGCTCGAAACGGTAAATAATTACTCGAAGATAAAATTAAGATTTAATCTAAGAACGCAAATTGCAACTAACTTGGAAACCTATTCTCGTGGTTACTGTTACGATGTATATCTACTCAGAGAAATCAAGATTAAAGGATCGACTTACTAAAAAGCTCACCAGCAATATGAAACACGAAATGACACTTGGGAGAATTAAACTATCGATTATATTTTAAAGATAAATTATTAAGTAAAAAGTAAAATGAAATTATTATCAACGAACGAATTATTCACTAGTCAGAACAGTCACCGAATTAAACAGACACAAAATTGAAGAAAAATCACAGTGCCGCGGTTTAGAAACGCATGATTTATGATAACGTTAATTAACGAGTAATTGTACGACGGAAGTCCATCTTTTACGTACGCCACTATCGCGAAATATCTGATTAGAATCGTTCGTAAAACGTCCGTAACTTAAACGTTGATGGTGGCGCGTGTATGAATAACTGACAGTCGCTTATTCCTCTTATCCATATATATATATGTGCCCCGGTGTATATTCGTAGGATCATGAATATTTCTATTGGTTTCCACCACTGACGGCCGTCAATGGCCTCAACGAAAGTGAATTTCCCTGGACAGAGCCGCATTAATTAGCAGAATCCGCACGCGTCTGGTTCGTGCAAATATGGAAAACCGTTTGCGAAATCGACCATTCTACGTAAGCAATTACGGGCCACAGGTATCACTTCCAAGCATCGTGGGCGCAGTCGTCAGACCTGTTTCTAAATCAGCTAATTGCCATGGACTTGAAAGCGGCCCCCGGACCCGTCCTGGCCAAGAAAACCGTATCCCCGTAAGCGGACTTCGGTGGAGAAAAAAAAAAAAACGGCGAGGTAAAAAATGAACTGTTCAGAAGTTTCATTAAAAATACACCGAGGTAGCCCGTATTGGCGATAAAAAAAGGTCGACGAGAGCCAGGATCGACGCGTTAAAGGAGTTTTCCTCCGCGCGACGACCGATAAAAATCGGCATCTATAAGTGGAAGGACGCGTATCGAAAGCGAAGAAAATCAGAGAACCAAGACCAAGAGCATCGAAAGAATTCCTGGAAAGTGGTTTCGAGAAAAATCAGCAACCATAAGTGAGAGATAGTCCGAGTGAAAATTTCAAAACTGCGAAATATCATTCACGCGTTTAGGTATTTAATTAATTTTAAATCGCACGTCAATCAAAACTAAATGAATTCGTCCATTTTGTTCGTACGCATGTTGGCTCGAGAATAAATTCTACGGTTTAATAACAAAAATATACTGGCAATAATAGATCGCTTGCCAATAAATAAGGAATTTTTTTGAATTGAAAGGCCTCGAAACGTGGTTTCTCGGTGAGAGAAACACTTAATTAAATTATTAGTTTCTTGGAAACTTAGTTCCTGCTTCTTCTTTATTGGATCTTTTGCTTTTAGATTAATTTAAACTGTACAGCTTTCACCGCGTCTATTTTCTTTTATATTTTTAACTTTCCTAATCTGAAAGGTTTTCTTCCTTCTGTTCCTGTTCTGATAATAATTTTTAAGTGTACGCTATGCGTTGGAAGCAGCTGCAAGAAGAAATTACACCAAGGTGGTAATTAATTTGGCTTTAAATACACTCGCCTGTTCTCTGGATAAAAAAGTCAAAAAACAGGGTACGAGATATGTGATTTTGTTATTAAACGAGATCAACTTTCAACTCTAAGATGTATTTTCCATCCAATTATCGAATAACAACTGAGTCGTTGCTCCTTGGCATGAAGATAAATTCTTCTTGCTTATGCTGCCTCACAAGCTGAGGCTAAACAATATTCGCGTAAGTTAATGTCCAAATAATTTAAAATTATTTTTTACAGCTATTGTGTAAACCTAACATCTATAATAACAAGAAGAAAACGTCAAATAAAGTGAGACGGAGCAAACAACGCGAAAATTCCATCGTATTTTTATGATTTTGTTAAATTAAAATTCAAGAACGAGAGGCATTTATCGACTGATATATTTACATTTCTCTAATCAACGCATTTACAGTAAAAGGTGTTTCAGTTATCTATATCTTTCTACGAATTTTGTTTCGCGCCACTCCTTAGATCACAATCCTCTCCGTTCACCATCCGTTAAAAATCACTATCTCCATTGCTCCGCGGTTTTATTTTATGTATATGCATTAGTATCGAACTTACTCCGGTATAAGTTCTCGATTTGTATCAAACGTTCGATGCAAATTAAATCTTATCAAGTTTCAAGCCTGTGAGAGGCGTATATCAAAAATGAGACGCGCGTTAAATGCTTTAGCGAATTAAAGATTTCTACACGGTTGACAAGATTGAGTCAAAGATACATAAATCGTAAAATTATATCGTGCAAAAGAGGTGTTTTGGGCAGAATAAGATATAGAAAATGTGGCTGTTTTAAACAAAAACATCATTTCTTCAATTTGATACTGTTGGTCCCAGGAATCAACGCCATTTAAAGAAAAGGTCAGGGTTAGATCTGGGTTATTATCATTAAATAAACAAGTGTTATATTTTCAATCGTATACTTTATTATTCGTACTTTGTATAAACTAAAAAATTGATACAGAAGAATTTCAATTATTACACAGGAAAATATTTTTTATCAATTTTCAACCTTCCATTTTTACTGTACCGATAATACAGGTTTCTTCCTCGAGTCTCGAAGGATTACGAAAAAGATCACGAACGGCAATCGATAGAAATCGTTCTTCAGATTAAGAAAACAATATCATCAAAAAGAGAAATGTAATTAATCGAGAAATTCGGCTCGTTTGTGCTAAACGTAAAGCACCTGATGCATAATACATTGCATGTATTAACCGTTAATAACGCCGTAACACGAAACATCGCAATTTTCTACGTATACGCTTAAGATATTACAATCGTTTGCATTAAACGAGTCTCTGGGCGCGCGTCGGCTTAATTGTAGTTGAAACGGCGCTTTCCATCGAAGCGGAAACCATAAGCGGCGCTGTTAGGCGCGCCGACGAGAGCGGGGTTTTTGTACTGATGGAACGATCCGTGAAGATGTGCCGGCCTCACGGCGTTTTGTTGCTCCTCCTGCGATCCTTTCAAGTAAAACGCCTCGAACTGACCCTCCGGCAACAATATGTCCTTCAACGATTTGTCCTCCGGGTCGTAGCCCAGTACACGTACCGTCATACCCATAAAAAGCATGACGTGCTGCAACCACAAACAACCCATTAACGCTCCGCTAATTAGCAAAAAAACCAGAACATATTAAACGACATCGAACGATGGACAAAAGTAATTTTATTTATTTTTATGCATCGATGCATCTAAAAAATGTATTAAAGTATTTAAACTATAAATTATCTTTGAATAATTGATTCCACCAAGGTTTTGTCGAGCAGTAAATCCATTTCTATATTCAAATCAAAATTTAAGAAACACGTACCATTAGTAAGGTAAAAACGTTTAAAGCCATCCTCCAGTTTGAAAGTCGATCGACTCGCTGAAACAATTCAGAAAAAGAGCCACGTGTATGTAATTAAAGAAACACGCGAAAATGGTATACCAAGTCAGAAAAAGTGCGTAGGCCGTAAATATAAATAAATCAAGCTTATAGTGTTTTAACGACGCGTATACAGAGTAAATTAACAAGGTGCGTGCCAGGATACCGTAAACAATCTCTTGCAATTAGAATTCGCGATTCTCAAATTAGTTACGCACCTCCTGCACGAACGACATGTTATGAATTTTCGAACGATACGGACACACCTTATTGAGCACGACGAACGAGACGAATCACTTTAGACACGTTAAATTCGCCAATTTGTTCATTCAAATACTTTTTTTCATTTCACTATTATGCCTTCTTTTTTCTTCGTGGAACACACGGAGCCGCGGACGACAATTTGAGAACCACTGTTTCGAAATATAAATTTCCGTAGCACCGAAAAGAAACGAAAACGAAAGAAAATTTCATTTACTTTAAAACGAACTCTCGTATTATCATTCGATTGCACGGACAATTAATTGAGTTTTGCTTTCGTTCTTTTGCTCGTTAATGATCGTTTCGGAAGATGCAATTAAGACGACCGTATCAAGTTCGCGTTAAACCGTATTAAGGTTTGGCTTCTATCATTAAAAATTGCAAATGTACTAGTTTTCGTGCTTCGAACTTACCGAGCAGCCGTAGCAAAAGTGAAAGCCGCTTGAGCGATCGTACACAACAGTACACTGCCCGGGAACGTTTCCTCTATCTGTGCACGTTTAACGACCTTGCCACTGTAAGCGCCCCCACGTCGAAGACCAAGAGCAGAGCAGCTTCGCGATCCGCAGAAACGGAAGCCGATGAAAGTGGAAATCGAGCGACCTCGGGTTTTCGCAAGAAGCGTCAGATCGCTTTTTATGTTTCCGCTAACAGACCGTTTGAAACGCGGGTTCGGTTCGCGCTAGAAATCGTTATAAAGGTACCACGCATTTTCAATAATTTAGAGCCACTTTAAAATTATATCGTGTCATGTCTATCATGATCTAAACTATTGCTCGAATTAGGAACGACTTCGTAGTCGGTGTGTGTGATGTGCAAAGATAATACCATCGGTACATGTAAAAAACTGTACAACAATTTATTTATACAAAAAATCAGGTATCTCCATATAAATACAAAAATTGAAAAATAAGAAAATAAAATTAAATGGTGATATGCCTCTCGGAAAAGAAGACGTACAAAAAGCTTGCAGCTGCCACAAGTCGCCAGATAGTTTATATTTATTGTCTAGTCGAGACGTCGTTAATTAGTAAAATGGTTGCAATCGGTTCCGAAAAATAATTTCTTTTTGATCGTTAAGAGTAAACTAGATCGTTAACAAATACAATATGCTACGTATCACAATGTGCCATATAAATATCTAGAGTGCACGGAAATCTCGATTTCAAAATTAATATTACATATATTCATTGCCACGTATAATACAATTGCGTACATTTATATGCTAACTTTCACGATAATCGGTTATATTAGTACACTAACATTTTAGTATCACGGATAAAACATCTTTTTTTTTTCTTCTTTAAATTAGTCATGTCACTACCATAATACACAATTATATCAATGTCTAAATACAAGCTTCTCGAGAGATGCATACTTTGCATATGCTTGCAAGTTTACAATTTTCGTAATTAAAATATATATTAAATGCTACTCGCCGTTTTAAGTACTTTTCGAAAGTGGTCGCAATGAAGTGAAAATATTAGAAAACTGTATAAAATTACAAATATTCTATTGAGTTGTACATGACTTTATGATACGTCATAATTATGTAGTTTATATTTACATATATTAAATATCCCTGGGACGCAGTTACATAACCTAACATATTACACGGAATATAAATAAGAATCTAGCTTTGTTTTCCCCTTTGGGGGTGAAGTGAATGGTGAAAACCAAGCAACTGAAAACCTTCCAAATACTGCTTGAATCGATTTCCATTTGCTGTTACGAACCCACCTGGCTTCCTCCTTTTTTAGTTGCTCAATGCCCTACAATAGAAATTCAAAAGGTGAACGAAATGTTTAAAATTGATACAAGCCGAAGTATTTGAACTACGTACAGTTTCGTCGTTCCAAATTGCCTGCAATTGGGTTCCCAACATTACAGCAGTAAAAATGGCAAATAGAAGTGCTTCGAAAGCCAAAAAAAGTAGGAGCACCACTGTCGCGGGTGGACTAAACGTAGAACATTCCTTCCATTCTTGTCTTACGCACGTAGTAAATTGTTGTATACATAAAAATAAGGATTGTAAGGACATTCCTGCTATATAGAACTGAAATATATTGTATAAAAATCAATGTATGCTCCACTTTTAGTTTATGTAAACAGCAACACATACAGTAAAGAGTACAAAATACTTTTGATTATTTTCCCCGACACAATTGTTAACCCATGGACAATGGTGGTCCATTTTTCTAATGCATCTACAAACAAACAATGTAAGTATCTACCACTAATTATTCTTTGTACTTTATGGGCTACAGCAGTGTCTCTCAAACTTCACTATTCCACTGCCTCCTTTCTTTCTTCCAAGAGCTTGCTAATCTCCACCAACATATTCAGAGATTTCCAAAGATCCATAAACCACAGTTTAAGAAACACTGGTCTATGATATTTTCTATGCTATGATAAATTTACCTTTGGCAAACTGAACAGTGATGTGCTCTATCTGGCTTAATAGAACAACACTTTGGACATTTAAAAATTAAGTCTCCATCCCTAAATCCCATTTGTTCTATCATTTCTTTTGTAGCATTACCTTTTGGTACTGCACCCTATATGCGTAAATCATTTTTTTTCTCTTATTATTTTCATTGAGAACCCAAGCATTTATTGTACTTACTGGATCAGTAAACATTGTCCTTAAGTGAGAAGCAAATGCTAAAAAAGTTAAAGATTGGAATATTGCAGTATTTAAACTAGAGTATACAGTGTTTATCGTAGGAATAAGGATAACTGCCATTACTACAAATTCTGCATAAATTATTAACAGCCATGTTAAAACAGCACATATTATGCCACATATATCCTGCAATAAATAAATACGTGGGAACACATTACAAAAATGAAAAAACAATAAAACATACCTTGATGCACCACAATTTTCCACCGTAACATTTATTATGAACATCCCTTTCTCTTTGAAGGCAAATATAATCATAATCCATGATTTATACTTTTCCACTAAATAATTAAGCATTAATCCTATAAGGAGTTACCAATAATGTTTACTAATATAACCATGGTTCCATGCCTGAAATCAAGGTTAATGCAAAAATCAATAATATATCATAATACTCTATGGTATATTTGTCAGAAATTTCTGAAACATTAAATTTAATCGACATTTTAAAGTATAACCTAAACGAATACTTACATTGTAATTCACAGACTTACAATAACTGAACAACACATAACAATGTTTATTTTAATTCTCTTTATTTATTTTTAATGCGTGTACAATGAATATCAAATAATAAAATTGATTTTTCCGTTGTCACCTCTCGTATAATTGGACCGAGCATGTATACATCCATTAATAAACAATTGTGTCAGATATATAAGATATCCTTTAAACATCCACGGGCATACCGTTCATAACGGTTCAAATATAGCATAAAGTAAACGAACTGCAAACGAAACTTGAACACGTTATCACGTGTAGATTACGATAGTTCGGTTTCTAAACGTCAGCGATATTCGCCATTGAACGGTATTACGAACGCACCTGCCTTTCGTACGGGGCACATGGTTTTATTGAAATTATTTGATCGTAAATGTGATACGCTATCAAAAACAGGACCAAGAAAAGTTAAAAATGAATGTAATTGGATGTAAATAATACCAAATACTACCAATTCGGATCGTCGAATCGCGGGGTTCTTGCACGCGACTACAAGTTTGACAGTACGTGGTAAGGGTGGGGGCCACAGTGCGCGGCCATATTGGCTACTTGTGACTTTTGGGAGGCAGTGAGTAAAAAATAACCCAACTTTTCTCGTTTCTACGTGAAAAAAATGTTACCCTCGAGAATTTTTCATTAATTTTACACGTTGGTCTTATCAGCGCAAACACGATTACGGTGAAAGGTGTGATCGTTTGTACAAGGTCATCCTTTTTTACGAAAAATGGTACGTTAACATTTGATTAATAGATTCCCCGTCATCGGATACTTGAAATTGTTCGTTGTAAAATTCAACGATTCGCGAGTACGTTATTCTTTTACTTATTTTCCTCTTTCCCCGTAGAGTTTCTTTGGGTTCGGTCAGTCGGCTGACATTGAGATTACTTTGGATGGTGCAGAGACCAGGAAGACTGCAGACATCAAATCTGAAGATGGCAAAAAAGAGCGCCACTTGTTATATTATGACGGAGAAACTGTGTCAGGAAAGGTAAGGATGATTTTTTAATATATTGCCAACGGTATAAAGCAGTAAATGTAATTAAACAATGTTACCTGTAACCTACAATAGCTAATCGAAAAACTTCATATGTATCGAAGTAAAGTATAAAGTCAAATCAATTAATAGTGTTTGTGTATTAATTATTCCACTTTAATCCTCAGAGAATCTTTTTATGTCTCTTATGTTAGGATTTTTAGATACACCCGTATATATTTCATGTAATACAGATGTATTGTATGTGGAGTGGACCAATAACAATTACCACCTTAAATATCTTTAAACGTATCCAAAGCAACGAGAGTAAGAGAAAAATTGTTTTATACATTTAGATAAGGAGTTATTCTATATATTTGAGTAGAAATTGTGTTTGAACTTCTATGACCTTCAAATATAAGTAATATATTTAACATAATATAAGCAACTTAAATTTGCATATACATTCATTTGTGTTAAGGTATAATTGTTGAGCATTTTTACAGTTTTTAAGATACTCAAAATGGTAATTGTTATTGACTACTTTCTATACAGGGCGGTCGGCCAACCCTGGGAAAAATTTTAATGGGAGATTCTAGGGACCAAAATAAGACGAAAATCAAGAATACCAACTTCTTGATCGAGGCTTCTTTAAAAAGTTATTAACGCTTAAAGTTCCGACTGTAGAGCTGCGTGTGCGTGATAGTGGTTCTCATTCAGTATGAGAAACTCCACTTACTGACGTATCGACAGTCTTACAGTTTTGTAAGTGAGAACCACTATCACGCGCACGCAGCGGAACTTTAAGCTTTAATAACTTTTTAACGAAGCCTCGATCAACAAATCGGTATTCTTGATTTTCGTCTTATTTTGTTCTCCAGAATCTCCCATTCAAATTTTTTCCAGGGGTGGCCGAACACCCTGTATATGTAAGTTGTAATGGAATGTATTTTGAGTGATTGGTATTATCTTATTCAAGTTATTAACCAATGTCTCAGTTTACAATCATTATTTACAGATTAATATTAGTCTCAGAAAAGCTGGTAAATTGGAGCATCAGGGTGTTAAAGTAGAATTTATTGGACAGATTGAATTGTATTATGATAGAGGAAATCGTCATGAATTTGTAAGCCTAGTTAAAGAGTTAGCCAGGCCAGGAGAATTAACGCATAACACTGTCTATACTTTTGAATTTGCAAATGTAGAAAAATCATTTGAAAGCTACACAGGATCTAATGTGCGGCTAAGATATTTTCTGAAAGTGACAATTGTTCGAAGACTTAGTGATATTGTTAAAGAACTTGAATTAGTTGTGCATACTCTTAGTTCCTATCCAGATATGAACAATCCTATTAAAATGGAAGTGGGAATTGAAGACTGTTTGCATATCGAATTCGAGTATAACAAAAGCAAGTAAGTTAATTCATTACTGAAAATATAATTCTTTCGTATGTATTCGGCAATGAATTTTTGTGTAAAATTATTCCATTTGCTTTATCTTTCTTCAGATATCACTTAAAAGATGTCATTGTTGGGAAAATATATTTCCTTTTGGTTAGAATAAAAATCAAACACATGGAAATTGCCATAATAAAACGAGAGACGACTGGTTCTGGTACTGTATACTTAATCAATACTGTTTTTTTATATGTATATATTTAAAAGTAGTTACAATAATCATTGTTATAATTTGTATACTTTTGTAAAACTTGATGTTCATATATATGTAAATATATATTAGAGAAAGGGTTTTGTTTTCTCGATATTCGCGTACTCGCAACTTATTGTACTAAAGTAATAATTAGAATACATATTTGCAGGTCCGCATACATTTACGGAGAATGATACTATAGCAAAATATGAAATAATGGACGGTGCGCCAGTTCGCGGTGAATCGATTCCAATAAGAGTGTTCTTAGCGGGATATGACTTGGCACCTACGATGCGTGATATTAATAAAAAATTCAGTGTTAGATACCACCTTAATTTAGTCCTTATGGATGAGGAAGATCGTAGATACTTTAAGCAACAAGTAGGTTTACAAATGTGATTGTGCATTACTAATTTTTTTTTTCTATCATTGCTCGAGGGGACATCTACAATCAGATCGTTTTAATTCTAGGAAATAACGCTCTGGAGAAAAGGCGATAAGAGTAGAAAATCTCAAACCGCTTCACCACATATGCCATCGCACTTAGTATCGGCAGAAACGGGATTTCCGCAAGGAGCTGCTCAAAATGGTCCGCCATCCGTACAATCGTCTGTACCATCAGGACAACTGCCATCCAGTAATATTACCAATGTAGAAGATACACCAGCTCCAATAGAAGGCATGACACGCGAAGAAGGAGATGGTGAAGGTGAAAAAGAAGTAAATCTTGAAAGTAACTGAATTTTTGCATATGAGACAGTTATTGAAGACAATGGAAGTCTAACTAGTTCAGAGAATCAGTAACAACATTGGGAAATATCACGCGGAACTAGTAGTATCGAACAGAATTTCTCTTGTACTGTGAAGGGAAATCGAGTTTTAAGAACAGGGGCGGAATCGTTACACCTGCGAGCAAAGTTGTAAATATTTTGGATACCTATAAAGAATGCAGGTGGATAAATTGAATAAGTAGCCAATTATCGATCAAAATTTCAAATTATTGAGATCTATAGGTAATATACTACGTCGCCTGATGGGACGGACCTAAAATGAATTTAAAAAAGGTAATATTACTGAAAAGAATGATGCAGCCACATAAGATGAATAATCGTAAATGGACAATTTAATAATCGAGTATTAATCAGTGGTATATTCTCGAATGGCATCTGAATGTTACAGTGTTCTGAATATTTTATACAAACTTATTCTGTGTTATGCAAATGATGCCTTCAACCACTAGATTTTTCTTGAAATTCGAAGTCACTTGTATGGCAACTTAATGTCATATAAAAATTTTATAAATCTGAGATGAATATACGTATACTCACAATGGCTGTCTTATTTTAATCCACTCATCTAGTCTACAATTGATATAATAAAGGCAATTTAAAGGCATGCTTCGATGTACATACTATTAAAATAATTTATGAAAAAGTGTGGTTTTCTATAAAAATTTGTATTAATATTTGCACAGCATGTAATAATATAATAATCAATAGTTCTGTAACAGGCTCTAGCAATATTGTACATATATAAATTACTAAATTGTATATGCCGATTAATTTTTCAATTACATTTTTATGTCTTAGTATGTCTGCTCAATTTTAACATGCCTTTATTAATATGAGAGTGGACTATGATAGATTAAAAAATAGGATGGCCCCCACTTGTATTTATAGATATATACATACATATTACAATATGTGTGTGAATATATATATACATATATATACGTATATGGGTGTGTATATATATATATGTACCTACACATAGATGTGTGTATATATATGTATATACACATATACATATGCATATATATGATTTTTAATGATAAACAGTGCAGTAGCTACAGACTGGGTCATATATATATATACACACACACACACAAATATCAACATCTATTATAACAATACTGAAACCAGTAATGAACTAATAAAATGTGTTCTTCTATCAAGGTAGTATCATGATTACTACCAAGATGGAAGTAATGTCGAACGAAAGAGAATATCCATCGTTTTGTATGATTCTATGTTAACATGGGTCGACTGCGAAAATCTTGTTATAAAAGTGCATAATAGTCAACCACGTGTATTTCGAGAAGTTTGTTTTGTGTAAATTAAAATTTTCATACTTCACACTTTTGTTATTTGTTAACAAGAAAGATACATGTGTACAAGAGAGAGAAAAACAAAAACTATTTGTGAATTATTTGACATGTCAAATATTGTATATACATATACATATTGTCATACGATATGAAGCTAGTTGTATATTTTAATGCCCACATAAGTATATTATATATTGTATACAGTGTGCCTTTGTGTACACGTATATTGAAAAAAGATTACTTCGTTTATACATACACCCTTCCTACTATTATACGTAACCGATACAGTGCAGCAAATTTTTGTTATTATTGTCTATAAGTTGCTTTTTATGTAGAAAATTTCAGAATAACAAAAATCATGCAGTCGAATATCATTAATTTTATGACGATTTATATAAGATGGAATTAACTAATGGACTAGAATTTTATAACAACGATTAAATATCGATTTAAATGTCCCTAGTTCCCCAAAACAGTTCCTTAATTAATATAAACATAGTTTGTTTCATTTATCGAATATTTGGTGACACAGATTCCTGCCACATAAGGGGAGTCTTAAATTCAATCATATTTCTTTCATTACGGTACACTCTCTAGTACCATATGGACAAAAGAGAGGATGGTGCTATTTAAACTGTATTATAAATTATCAGTATAATGAACAGATCACAATGTATTAAATACGTATCCTTGCATTTTAATACGTTTGTGTACATGTAATTAAAATAAAATATGTACAATATTAGTAACATATATCAGAATTTATTCACAAAATAATACGATAATTATTCTATGCAAATTTCTCTACAAAGAAAATGAACAGAGAAATTGCATAACCGCAGATGAAATATAGAATAATTTATCGCCTTATAGAATTTAGTATCTGTTGGTGTTATCGATTCTGATTGGAGTAAAATGTTCACGCTATTAAACCTAGGAATTAAAACTAAATATGGCGAGAGTTTTAATTGAGGAAGCAATCGAAATCACTATCATACACGATATAATTTTATCGTTAAAATAACAAAAGTACATTAGTTTATGTCCTCTCTATGTTACGAATCTTAGAACATATTCCATGTTTTATGCTTTTTATCAGCTTTATCGTGAAATGGAAGAAGTAGAATTTGGTAACTTTCCCCTCATGCGACACGAATCGTATTAACGAGCATGATCACACGTATTATCCTTAATGCCCCTTTCGTAGATGGACAATACATTAATTGCAACGACAAAAGTATTTACGATCAACAATGTGATCCAAACCGGCTTTACGTAAAAGCAAATAATGTATTGAAATGAAAAACTATTTTAATACCTTGTCTGTCACGATGGTCACTGTTTACAATGTATTTCAAAATGGTTCACAACGAAGGAACCAATTTTTGTAAAATATTAAATAAAACTATTATTATTAAGAATAGGTACAACATAAGAAGTACATCATGGAATTAGCGAATATTTCTATTTTTTATACTATAATTTCAACACGTGACGATATCTATAGATATAGAAAATTGACGTGGTAGTTAACTTGCTGATTAGTAAAGATAACACGATTATCACACCCAAGTGTAACTTTCTAATTTAAAACCGAGGAAAGTAAATTTTTAAGTACCGTCTGCGTTTGACAGTAATCTTAATTATCACATCTTATCGAATACCTACCAATTTAAGCTGAACAACTCAACTTTCGCTTATTTTTAATTTGTAACACGATTCAGAAGGTGGCTCGTGAACTGAAAGTTGTATCGAGGCGTTTAGCAATTCTAGCACCAATGCTGAATATGAATTCTACTAGTTTCACTTAATTAATCGCAATAGTCCATCGATACATCGTATAAATTAAGGGTTCGAATTCTAAAATATAGAGAATTTACAATCGGATCTACTTTTGTTTTTACTAAGGGATATTAATATGTACACGTAGAAATCAAGCTTAAATAAAAGTAACGTTGCTAAATTATATGTATCAAGAGTTATGGCTCTTTGCTTATAAATAATTTATAAATCGTCTCGCGAATGTTGCAATACTGATTACGTGGCACATCTGTGTACAGGTTTAAATAATGCAATAAGTAATATTCGCCAATACGCATCTATTAGTAAATCCATTAAATAGCTATCAAGAAAGAAATATGTACATCAATTGAATTACTTCGATCTAAAGTCCGAGTAGCATGCGCTCCACTCTGTGCGCAGATCTGGTGTCGGATAAACAATTATTGTCTGGATATCATATTATAGTATAGTTCACTGCCGGTTAAAGCTTCGCCGCCTTCGCGTTCCGTAGTTTGTTAAGTGAAGATGGAAGTACGGGCAGAATTAATTACAGAACTTCGTGAAAAATTTTTTAAAAAGTTGGACGAAGAAGAAACACCAGAGCCTAGTGTGTATACTTAATTTTGCTCAGTAAAATTGATACTTAATTATAGGTTGCATGTACAAAACGTCAAATAACTAGAATGACAAAATGTAATCTTTGTTTGATGCATCAAGGTCAATGTTTTTATTATTTTGTCATACAGAACGATAAACTAGAATAATTTGAACAAATATTTATGACAGTTTACGTATCAATTACTAAATTCTATTATGACAGTTATATTGTGCATGAAAGTACACGAGATTTAGTTAATTTGTTAATCAAATTTAATTTTAGGATTTCATCCTGCCGATATTGCCAAAGTAAAAGAGAATAATGTGTGGTTAAGGAGATTTTTAGAACATACAGAGTGTAATGTGCAAGATGCACTCAATATGTTATGGGAGACTTGTACTTGGAGAAAAGGATTTAATGTAAATGGTAAGCATTTAATAAATTCAAATGTACAAATACTTTTTTTCTTGTACAAGCTTGTGCATCATTTAAGTAATATATAATTATATTATGTCACTGTTACCTAATTATAGAGATTACAGAACACAATGTAAAAAGAGATTATTTAGAAGATGGATTTTGTTTTGTCCATGGTAGGGACAGAGATGGTAAAATAATGTTTGTTATTAGATCTAAATTGCATGCAAAAGGAAGCAAAGATTTAAATGAATTAAGAAAAGTTATTGTATATTGGTTCGAGAGAATAGAAAGGTAATATAATATTTGCTATGTCAAGCTCAAGTTCATATATTTAAAGTTAATGTAATTAATCCTTTTTACTATTTCAGAGTAAATAATAACAATCAAATTTCACTTTTCTTCGATATGACAGATACCGGCATTTTGAACATGGATATGGAGTTCACCAAGTACTTGATCGGCCTTTGCAAAAATTATTATCCAAATTTTTTAAATTACATCATTATTTGCGAAATGCCGTGGATATTGAATACTGCTTTCAAGATAATAAAATCATGGTTGCCACCTAAAGCAATTCCAAAAATTAAATTTGTTAATAAAACAAATATCCAAGAATATGTAGAGTACAATGATATTCTTACAATTTGGGGTGGTACCAATGATTATGTTTATAAATTTGTACCGGAGGTACAAAGTAATACAGATGCTATAATGAATGATAAACTTGATAATAAAAAGGTATATGATCGTTCGTTAAGGGGAATAAAAATGTGATTAGTTCTTGGTTTAAGAGCTAATTTTAATCTTGTTGTTCCTTTAAAATTTTAGGTACATTTTGCGGAAGGTTCACCGATAACGGAACAATCTCCGAGTAATTTTGGAGATCAGACAAATGAAGAGGAATGTAAGTAATGTATGTAGTTATACTCTTACTTTTTACTAATATATAATCCTAAATATTTTTCAGGTTTGTCCATTGAACCAAAGACAATTACATTTAACAAAACTGGAAATGAAATTGCGGGCACAATTACACTCAAAAATATAACGGCAGATAAGCCTTTATCTTATAAGGTATAACGCGTATCTTTATCTTTTAATATGAATTTATTTATAGACTACCGGCAAATGTAAACCTTCTTTTCATAAATTTATAACTTCATAGATAAAAACAACATCGCCCGAAAAGTTCCGAGTACGACCAAGTACGGGAGTTTTATTACCTCAGGAACAACGAGTTGTGTCAGTAGTTTTACAACCTGGATATAATTTACGCGGTCTTTTACACAACGATAGATTTCTAGTTATGTGCCTTCCATTGAAAGACGCGAACATACTTCCTCAAGAATTAGTTGCTCTTTGGAAGGTAATAAATAATGTCGTAGTGTTTTATGATGCATTGAATGTAAAAAATTGAATTGTCGATTTATTTCTTTATAGGATGAAATACCAACAGAACAGCATAAATTACGATGTTGCGACGGCGAGACTGAAAGCAATGAAATACAAAAATCGCATTCCATGTTATCGTCTGGAATATCAGAAAACGGCAGGACAAAAGATACACTTTTCTATAGAGTAAGAAAAAAAAAAGTATTAATGCAAACAGTGCTGATAAGTATTGTTATTAACAAATAAAATGACAAATTGCAGATATCACAGTTGGAAAAGAGTAACGCGAAGCTACATAGTGACATCATTTTTTTGAAATATTTACTATTGTTTTCTATAATAATAGTCATTTTAATGGCTGCAATGGTTGTTTATATTTTGAGGATCGATATTCAAAATTTCGTGGATGAACAGGCCTGTCACATTCCTCATGGTATATAGGTTTTCAACTAGAAATCAATTTTATTTTTGCATATATATAATAGAAATTCTTACATATTTATGTTAAAAAAGTAATCCCGAATATGTCAGACGTTCATTTTCTCTATTTTTAGCTCGCACAGTTCCTTATTTTTTAGATATTTTTATTATGAAACGGTGTGAAAGTATGTTTTATCCCATAAATACTAACAACAAACTAGTTACTTTAATTAAGGGATTCTTATGTATAATATATTTAATATATCAGGAAGATGTATTATTATTGCTACGAAAATATACAACTAAATAGAATTATTTTTATAACGTTTAACATGTTTTTATTCGTATAGAGCATAAATCTTTTTTATCGATTGTAAATTATATTATAAAAATTACTTGATTTAAACTGTTGGCTTTACTCTCGCAACATGCCTAATCATATCTTGATTGTTGAACGTGTATTATAATACATAATATTATAATTGACTTGTTTTTTATAGTACTTTTTTATAATGGTGAAACTTTTATATCACATATATAATAAAATCCAATATTAGTACTAAAATTTACAATAGCCAAAAGAAATATGACATTTGACAATTCTACTTTGTATTCTATAGTAAGAATGACTAATAGTTGTATTTATATGTAAATATTTTATTAGTATTAACTTTATACGCTGTGTTAATAAAGTATATATTTAATATATTTATATTGAATGAAAATTGTGCACTACTTAACTGCATAATTTGTCCTGTATCATTGTATCGTATAATGTAAAAATTCATACAATGTAAGTTACATTTAAATAATTATTATTTAAGAAATTATGCAATAATTTGAATACTAAAGAATCAAATTACAGATTTTTTCAAAAACAGATGCCGATTCTACTTTTTTCAGTATGTACAAATTATACAGTTTTTTTACATGATACAAATTTCATGTAACTGTAACTCTTATCATAATGATACTGTGAAACGTTATTATCTCTATCGATCGATAATGTTTATAGGAATACGACATTTGTAAATTTGTACAAATTAATTTTATAATGATCTAATGTGAATATTTCTTTTAGAATTGTAGTCACCTAGTGAAATCCAGAAAACTATTACTTATGGCGGCACTAAAAATATGGCTGACAATTGTTGAACTCAACTTCAGTTCGAAAGGATGATGCTTCTAACAAATGAACGATTATCTCCTCCCCCCCCCCAAAATCCACCATTATATCCCCTACTCCAACTATGATTTTCCCGCTTTTTTCGCATGGCGTCATCTTTTTTTATTTCGATGAGTGTAACATCTGCTTGCACGTGAACGTAGCAGATTTGTGTTTCCTTCGAAATTACATTATCAGGTGACGTTACAACGTCGGATCGATTAAATTGTTGCGTATTTAAGAAAATATTTTCGCAATTAAAACGAAAACGTAAACTGTTTCAGAAGGAAACAATCAATCAAATTGATGAGTTCACGGAAGTTTCAATGCCCGGAAGTACCTAAAACGACGGTCGTCCGGTGTAAACACGACGAGTGTGACGCACACCATTGCGCAGCTACCAACGCGCAGCATTTGAACGTTTGCAGTTCGATCGGCCATATTGTTCTCCGGGTCTTACACAACGCCCTCACACGAACGATCAAGAGTTTACGAGGTAAGCGAATAATTTCGAGGTTTCGTGCGGCGATCGAGCTTGGAACAGCGTGCGAATACAATTCCGTTCGAAGAAAGACGATTTTTGGCGATACTGGAGGAAACCTGTGACCACTGGGCGCGAGCAAAACGTGGAAGATCGGTGAGTTGTCCGGAGCACGTAGCAGAACGGCCAGTATTCCCTTCCGTCGCGTCCTCCATATTGATGACAGCGCCGACGGTGATAATTTTCTGAAATTTTTGTCGTTAATGCCCCCTGTGTCCTGAAATCGAAAGCACCCGCGTTGTCTTAAAAGCTTTCCGACAGAATGCGCAACTTCGGAGCCTCCGGTGTTCGACGGGAGTCCGCGATTACGGAAACCTGGAGACCCGCTACGTATCTCCACGCGTTCCTTCGTCCATTGCGTCGCGATCGCATTTCGACCATGGCGTTATCCTCGTTCGCATTACCCGCTTCGGGTGTTACATGGCGTTCCGCGGCGGCGTGTGTCGCTCCTGTCAATCCTGTTGGACTCAGCTACGCGAACACGCCGATATGTTAAATTTCGGTGATCGCCAGATTGTGGTCCGAGTCGCCAATATTTCGTTCTCCCTTCCGTGAATGCGCCCGTCCGTTCTTTCGTACCATCAAATTCTTCGCTCAGATATTGATTTCTCCCCTTAATTTCATGCAACCGCAATGTTTTGTGCATTGCTGCTTCTACACCGGTGATAATCCGGTGGAAATCATATTATTCATATTCGTACACGTATTTGTACGTCCTGGATTGCAACATCGCTCACACTTGCGCATTATTAGCTAAGCGAGCATAGCTTATACGTTTATCGAACGTTCCGACCTCCATGTTGTGGTTTCCTTTGGTACGCGAAGTTCAGTTGTCCTAAATAATAAAAATTACGAAACATCGTTTTACTTTAATATCATTTTTAATTATTTAACTTCATCGTAATCTAAAAAAACTGTATCACTATACGTTTTCAACTGCGATTTCAATACTTTACAGTACAATTATAGTTGCATTAGTAATGAAATCACTATTATAGATACATATACATATAGTTGTACAGAAGAGGACTGTAAATCACAGCTGAGAATGTTACCAGTAATACAGCTTGTTTGGACTATGATGATGTCAAGTAATTTTATGCAAACAACTATGGTTACTTTCAATTACTCAGGACAACTGAACTTTGTATACAGAAGAAGGCCAAAGCATTAATGGTTAAAATGTTTCATTAATGTATTAAATTATGCTTATTTAATCATGAATCTTTTGTAATAACAATTTACATATATTATGAACTTACCCATTCTGTTGATACCCTTCTATTTAATTGCATAGAATGATTGGAATCTATATTCTCTTGTAATGATTTAGTACATAAGATATTCAAAAAGGTAGGATAAAACTTATAGTATGTCTTAATGAGATCAAATAGATGATGAAAGTTCCTATATTACTAAGATGTATGTTTATAAAATAACGATAAAAACAAAAAAATAGATTTAGGAATGTATTCAAAATGCATTTACTATTATTATTATTGAATATGAGTTAACACATAATATAAGTTTGGTCCTGACTTTTTTGGACAACCTATATATGAGAATAGTTACATTTGCTAAGAGATATTTATCTACACTTTTTTAAATTATTTTATCAAAGATTTAAGCTATATATAGTTTAATGGTACTGTTGGTTATAAGCTGAATTGATTATTGTCTGATAAAGTGGTAGAACACAATTTAATTTACTTCACTTTCAATGTACAGTGTGTCTCACAAACTGTGTCCATTCAAATATATTCCAAAGTGTTGATGGTATCAGAAAATGTTTCAGACAAAAATTAATTGGTTTTGAGGGTTGCATAGTCTGTTGTAATTTTCTTTTTTGCAAGTAAATGCTTGAAAGTCATATGAAGGTCATCAATGATTATTTTTTAATACATATTTTTTATTACATCATTCGATACAACTAGGCATTTTCTATGGTAAACTATTAAGCCATTTATGGTGAAAAATAATATGTTTAGAAAATATTTCAACATAAATATTAGTATTAGTATTGAAGATATGTAAATGTATGTTAATGTAGTTAATGTCCAAAAACAATTGTTTTAAGATATTAAACTTTATATACTAAATACTTTACATCATATAACAAAGGACACAACTAATAATATTCCAGATTAATGCGAGAAGATATACTCGTATAAATTAATGATTCGACCATGACGAGTAACGTAGCAACAATAAAATTAGAAGAGGGGCAGGAATCTGTGACAGAGATACAAACATATTTGGAAACATTTAATAAAGAAATAGAAGGAGGTCAGGGGGAGCAATTGCAACATGTGCAATGTTAGTATTTTACAATGTATTTTTCTGTGATCTATTTTGGGTATTCATAGTAAAACATGTGAGCATACTGTTATATCCTGTTATAGTGCAACAAGTAGAAGGATTGTCGGGTGGAGAGGAAGGTGGAACTTATTTTGTTGACCAATCTGGTCAATATTATTATCAAGCAAATAGTGATGAGACACCTGTAATGACGCAAGTGCAAATTCAAGAAGTAGAAGAAACCGATGTACAGAACGAAGGGGACACTTCTCAGGAGGAACAGTATCATGAGATTGAAGAACTTGAAAATGTAGAAGGAGACGAAGATGTAAGATATAATTATCATTTGAATGTTAGTTGAATATAAATTATTGTTACAAAAATGCGTCGCTCTACAGGGACAAGTGGGTAATAATGGAAATAATCAAGTTGTAATTAACTCTGGAGATGCGTATCAGACTGTCACGATCGTGCCATCCGACACCAATCCTGGCGAAGTCAGTTACGTGTTAATCGTTCAGCAACCCGATTCCGAAGACAAAGATAGCAGACCCGTGGAAAGAGAAGGAACAGAGGGCGAAGAAGGAGAAGGGGAACAAGATCTTACTGTCTATGATTTTGAAGACAATGAAGACAATGAAGTTCCCGTGGAATCGGAAGCAGAAGATGATAAAACCAAAATTATTAAATTTCTACCCAAAAAGTCCCAAACAGTTACTCAAGCTCATATGTGTAATTACTGTAACTACACTAGCCCAAAACGGTAAATTTTTTATAATGCCTTTCTTTCATCCTTCTGTCACTTGTTTCTATATCATATTATAACTTAATAAGTTAGTGCAAAAAATAAATTTCGTTAACTTGTATGACCTAGGTATCTGTTATCGCGGCATATGAAATCACATTCTGAAGAAAGACCCCACAAATGTAGTGTTTGCGAAAGAGGGTTTAAGACATTAGCCTCGCTTCAAAATCATGTTAATACACACACCGGGACCAAGCCTCATCATTGCAAATTTTGTGACAGTGCATTTACCACTTCTGGTAAGTGAAAATTTCTAAACATTAATATTGTATTAAAAAGTATTAGAATACAAAAGCATAGCAATCATTATTGGTATTTATTTACAGGTGAACTTGTTAGACATGTTCGTTATAGACACACTCATGAAAAACCACATAAATGTCATCAGTGTGACTACGCGTCGGTTGAACTGTCTAAATTGAAGCGTCATATTAGATGTCATACCGGGGAGCGTCCGTATCAGGTACATTATATTATTACTTTGCTTGGCACTCACATTATTACCGTGCTTGGTAATCATTCATTAGATATAATTGAAAGTCATTCATATACATAGTGCAAAATGTTTTTTCTCCTTATTACAGTGTCCGCATTGCACGTATGCGAGCCCCGATACATTTAAGCTAAAACGACATTTGCGCATACACACGGGAGAAAAACCATACGAGTGTGATTTTTGTCAGGCGAGATTCACTCAGTCCAACAGCCTGAAAGCTCATAAATTGATACACAACGGTATGTTAAGAATTATATATTTATTTATAAGATTTATAATACTTAAAATCTCATTTTATATCTATGTTATTTATGGTATAGTATAATACTATATATTACAGTTGGCGACAAGCCAGTATTTCAATGCGAATTATGTCCCACGACATGTGGACGAAAAACGGATCTCAGAATTCACGTGCAAAAATTACACACTTCCGACAAACCTTTGAAATGTAAACGTTGTGGGAAAACATTCCCGGATAGGTGAGCGCATAAAAATAATAATGCATTAAGCGAATAGCATTGTCGCACAATATTGTAAACGTATAATGCTTTTTCTGGTTTTACAGATACAGTTACAAATTACACAGTAAAACACACGAGGGAGAAAAATGCTATAAGTGTGATTTATGTCCGTATGCATCGATATCCGCGCGACATCTTGAAAGTCACATGTTAATTCACACGGATCAGAAACCTTATCAGTGCGATCATTGCTTTCAATCGTTCAGACAAAAACAACTTCTCAAACGACATTGTAATCTTTATCACAATCCCTCCTACGTTCCTCCACCGCCACAAGAGAAGACGCATCAGTGTCCCGAATGTGAACGTCCGTTCCGGTAAGTAACTTTTATAATACGCATATTAAATCAAGAAAGGACAAAGACACATGACAAATTCGTTTAGGCACAAAGGAAACCTTATTCGACACATGGCTGTTCATGATCCGGAATCATCTCTCCAAGAAAAGCAGCAAGCGCTAAAAATGGGTAGACAGAAAAAGATTCAAATCATAGACGGACAGAGAGTTGAAGTTATGACAGGTTAGGTCCATGATTTTTTTTCGTTACTTGAAAGTGTCGATTTTACTTAATTCGCTTATATTTGAATAATTGGTAATAGTAAATAATATTGGATAAGTAAAGTTCAACATTTCCGAAGCACTGCGTGTTTACATTTTAATGAATGAAGTGAATTATCGACACACATGACGAATGACCGACTATATAGAAACTTGTAACACAGGGACACTTACGATGTGATCTGTACACAGGTCATTGACTAATATCCATGTGTTGTGTTATGGTAACAGGTGATTTAGCTTCTAAACTTAAAGGTTATGAAGAAGAAGAAGAAGAAGACGAAGATGATATGATGGCGGTTGAAGGAAGTGACGGTCAACAATACGTTGTACTGGAAGTTATTCAACTAGCTGACAATCAGGGAACCGATCAGGTACGGAGTTTGTTTAACGAAAAATATTAATGTGAAATGTTTATGCGCGAGTATGTCATGATTTTATTCGTCTTATCAGATGGCTGTCGTAGCGAGCGAAGACGGAGATTTGGTAATGCAGGACCCTTTAAGTCAAGAAAATGGTATTGTAACCGGCACAGGGGAAGACGGGGACGAGGTGGAAGAAGATGAAGACGTAGAAATTGATGAACTAAAACTGGAGTCAGCGTCTACTAAATCATCTCAAAATACGCGAAGCGATCCAAAGTTACAGAAGGAAATGGAAACCTGTTTTGGATTTGACGAGGTAAATTATTTTTACTCCAGCCGTTAATCTCTTAATTTTCTATTTATATTATTAAGGAGTAAATAATAATGTCCAATGGTAGTTTATAATTCATTTGAATACCGAACTAATAACGATCTATATATTTCGGTAAATTATTTGTGTCCTTTTATAACTATAAATTACTGCTCGAAAACACGGTACATTATTCAGTGTATCAATTAACAACATTTCAGGAAGAGGAGGAAGAAGAAGAAGAAGCCAATGGCAATATAAATATATTGCAGACAATTTCGTAATAAGAATAAATCAAGAGAAAACTTTACGTAATAGTCAAATGTTTTATCTCTATCACAGTGTCACAGTGTACATACTGTGTGAGTGCAGTGTACTACTATGATATTTAAAAAAACTCTGCATGGCTTTAATGGAGCTATCTTTCGGGGCTAGAGTGGTCCACATACATGGTACAAGAACTTTTTTGCCACTAGTGCATTAGATGTACGTAATAATTTATGAAGGAACAGTAGTTTTGTGGTTTAGTGGAATATCAATCGAATGTACAATTATAATAATGTAAAACATCATTTTACCTTATTATCAGTGACATTTAACCTCCTTTGGAAGTCAACATAAACCGACAAAGCACCTTAATAATGAAAAACAAATATATTAGTAATATAGGTTGGCATAATATTTTTAAACAAGTTATTTAAACTTCAATATAAAAGTACAGCGCATACTAAAAGTTTGAACCGACCGACGTCGGCCATTGTTGGAATGTGGATAACAAAGATGGAGTTATAAAACGAAGTGAGGCTGCAGGTGTAAATAAATGCTTACTATTACACCTCATTTTATAGAGAAACACTGTGTTTTATGAACGACTAAAGGAAAAAAAAAGGAACGCTGATATTAATTATATCGATCGAATTTTATGGCATATTACATGAATAACACTGCATATGCATAAGTATGTATATAAGAATCATTAGTAACGAAGAAATAGGTTAGAAATTTTTTCGTTCACCTGAAAGATGTTACATTCGTGATTGTATATACGTATTTCGTAATAATAATAAACTGTCACTTTACAAATAAGTACCTATGAATGCTATTAATAATTGCGATTATTATACGAAAACTGAACTTTTTGTTCATATATAAATGTATGAATGGCAGACAGTAACTCGATGTTAAGTGTAATATTATGATCACCAGTGTGTTTACAATGCTTCTTTTTCATCCCACTTTCAACAGTTTTTGTTGCACAAAATACAGGGATTCTCGGAATATTTTCTTTTCCAGGTTAATTGCGTTTATTAAAGAATATAATAAAGAGTATATTTGTAAAAAAAAAAAAAATGAAATGAAATTATAATGGATCTGAGGTACCTTGCGTTGCTTCGTCCTTTAACAGTTTATCATATAATATACATTAGTGTGACGTCCAGAAATTGCAATTTATTATCGGTACGAATTATATAGGTTTCAGTTACGTAATCAAATTATTAGTGTGAACGTAATCTTACACGCAGTTTTTCGCACATGATTGGCTCTAAGTTATGCTATGTGTCTCGAAAAACTGTAAAATTACTGTAAAATTTTTTACACTTCAGCTGTAAAACTGTAATTGAGTGATTGATAATCATTGCGTGCGCTTCGGAACGAGGCACTTTCGTACATTATCCCAAAGAAAAGTGGTGTAGCATTTTCTCTGTAATAAATGTTATGTCATCGACAACGTTTGGTGATATTATTCCCAGCGTCACATTATTTTTGGTACACATCCCGTTACACGCGCGGGATGTTGTTTTTTTTTTATTGTTAAAAAGAAAAGCCGCAATCAGAAACCGATTACCGTTTATTTTCCTTTAAGTCCCATAAATAATCCACGACGTTCGATACGTTTGCTTCCACCTTTAGCGTTATTAGGAAAAGCCGCGCCCAACTGCACCCCTTAACGGCCGTTCACCCCATACATATTTACGTATCATCGTCTCGTCTATCAGGGACCATTTATAGAACACGCGATAGTTCAAAGTTTCTTAAATTATGGATTGCAATCCCTCGTGGAGTTCATAAAATATATTTTTTATTATTTTGAAACATTAAAATTTCTTTGTATACAGGGTGTTCGGCCACCCCTGGGAGATTTTAGAGGCCAAAATAAGACGAAAGTCAAGAATACCAATTTGTTAATGGAAGCTTTGTTAAAAAGTTATTAACAATTAAATTCAAAAATTTCAAATCGTTCTGGAAAAATTATTTTCAGTTGCGGGGGTCAATTATAATCATTTTTGGGGAATAGACATACCCCCAAAATCCTACCCACTTTCTAGAAAAAAATTCGAGGAGTGAAATTTTTCGTCGGAAAAAAATATTTCAAATCGTTCTGGAAAAATTATTTTCGGTTGCGGGGGTCAATTATAACCATTTTTGGTGAATACACATACCTCCGAAATCCTATCCACTTTCTAGAAAAAAATTCGAGGAGTGAAATTTTTCGTCGGAAAAAAAAATTTCAAATCGTTTTGGAAAAATTATTTTCGGTTGCGGCGGTCAATTGCAATCATTTTTGGTGAATACACATACCTCCGAAATCCTATCCACTTTCGAGCAAAAAATTCGAGAAGGTGTGAAATTTTTCGTCGGAAAAAAAATTTCAATTCGTTTTGGAAAAATGATTTTCGGTTGCGGGGGTCAATTGCAATCATTTTTGGTCATTATACATACCCCCGAAATCTTGCGCATTTTCGAGAAAAAAATTCAGTACGGGCGGAACTTTAAACGTTAATAACTTTTTAACGAATTCTACATCAACAAATTGATATTCTTGATTTTCGTCTTATTTTGGCCTCTAGAATCTCCCATTAAAATTTTTCCCAGGGTGGCCGAACATCCTGTATAAAAAATATGTTAATTAAATTCGTAATGTTTATAAACTTTATAAATTCGGGAGTCGTTGATAATTTTAATTTTGATTTCGAGTTTAAAAAACTCTGATCTAGTTCATGGAAGGTTTTTATCATATTTACAGTTATATCGGGAATGATTGTACCTTCGTTTTACACGCCCGGTGGTTCACGCCTTCCATTCGTATTCCCAGTGCGTCCGTAGGACGTAATAATAATCTCTCTTTCTAAAGAATGTCGATTGAAAGCGGATGTAACAATACGCGTATAATTTGGTGCGTGCAAACGATTCGCCCGATGTCGGCGAACTTTGTCGATCGCGAGTGTAAACGTTACCTAACATGATACGTTTCATAATCGTATGCACCCCCTTCAATTTGCTTAATTAAACGTATCCAACGATCACTCGATTTATGTAAAATGTAAAGTTACTTGCGTTCAGGGCGTGGAGTGCTTTTAACATTTATTTTAAGTAATTTATTACAAAGGGGAGGGCTACATCGATCAAAAATATCTATCATCTAAATTTTAACAAATGATTTTTTTTAAATTAATTTTTTACTCTTTTTAATTCCCAGTTTAACAGTTTGTTGTAGTCAAAGTAAAAGTTAATTTGTTCAAATAAAATAACAGGTAATCTATCTACGATCTATTATGTGAAATTATTTGTTATTTTATTTGGGTGAATTAACTCGAATGAAAAGTTATTTGTATTTCACTGGGAATAATGTTATTGTTATTTTGTTTTAATTAGAATGTGCCTAAGTCTGATCTATACCAGCTCGATGAAAGACGCGACTGTACTTATTACCGCCAAACGTTATTTCCCTTTCTAACGCGGGTCATCGATCTTCGCCGATTGTATTATCCCATACATAACACAACCTATAATTAAATATTACCGAACCGCGTTGTTCGCGTTACGTGCTATTTAATAAATCATTTTGACGATATAATGAAAATGTAAATATTAATCTAAGCGGTGCGCCGTATAATTCAGCGTTTCTCAAACTAGGTCTTCGTGCTTCTGTAAGGAAATATGTATTTTAAATAAATTTCTCAGTAAACGACGTAGATAAAATTTAAGAGGACCCGAAACTATTTAAATTGAACACAAAAGTATTAAAATATAAATATAAATGTTCCAAATTATATTACAAAAATCGAAGCTTCACTCTGCTCTAACAAAGATCTTGTAAGAGCATCTCCAAAGTTGCCTTCTATCGAGGGAATTCGCGAAAAGGTGAAGAAATGGTTTGAGAAATGCTGATCCAGTTTAAGACCATGTATCCGTGTATATCGAGAGGAAAATTGCGAGATGTTGATCACCGATAGCGAGTTTAATTAATGAAATCATAATTAGCGGGATTCTTTGTTTTTAATTGAAAACGGAGAAAGCTCTTCGTACGCATAGATTCGCGACGAATCTGTAGCGTTTCGAGCGATTTACGGTGACTGGTTTTCCACCAAAAGATAATCTTCACAGCGTTTACATACTACTGTCGACAAACGAAACGGACACGGGGACAAATGGACGTGGCACAGGATACAACGCCCACGCGAATGCACTCTCTTCGCCTCCCACGGTCCTTCTTTTACGCGACACCGAGTATCGGTGATTTTCACGTAGGAGAGGAGGTTGCAAACCACCTGAAAACCAAATTCATGTCGATGACAACACTTTTGAGGTAGTCTAATTTTGCCAAATCGTTTTCAGTTAGGCCTCTGACAAGTTAGAAGCAGAAGAGGCGCATCCCCTTTGGCCGCCATTGTTCGAAGGTTTGGATAGACGCGACAGCAAACAAAATTAAATTAATTAGATTAACGCTACTTCGTTTGCGAAATTTCATCCTTTCTAATGATTAATGAACCTGCTCGATATGCAATAACACGACCGAGGAAAGTTTCCTAAATGAAAGTGTTTTACGCGAAAACACGTAATCGCTTGCGTCACGTTAACGCGAAAGAAACGGTCGTTGCACTGGTCAAACGAACTAGCGACTATCACCATTGATGATGTCTCATTGATACTTATGTACACACTTTTCTTCTTGATAGATGAAAGAAAATGAGTGAAACCACAGACGAGGTACAGGATACTAATGGTCAGAGGTAGGTCTATTTGTAATCCTTTGTAGGATAACAGGCTGGTGGGAAGATGCAACGTCTAAGTTTACAATTAATTCGACTCTTTAATTTACAGAAGAACTACAGTTGGTCATCTATTTCAGTTGGTCTTCTTGGCTATTCTTGGATCTACACTGGACCGCCATCTTGGTAACAACCTCGTTCTTGACCATCGATGACCATAAACTGACCATCCTTGATCATTGAATAATGATCAACTAAAGCCATCACGAAGTACAAGATTTTTTTAAATCATGTATTTCAATCAAAACTAGGAAACAAGTTTGTCAAAATGGACTTTTGTCCTTGAGTCATCCAAATGTTTATACGTTAAATATTTTCATATATGTCGCCTTCTCTCTCCCCCTAGGTGTCCTCTAATTTAGAAACCTTTAGTGATCTAAGATGAACTGGTTTAGGTGAATATTTGAATTTCCGTTTGAACCAAAAGGAACCATACTGGCACCACTTGCGTCATCATTGATCCCATCACTGTACACAAGATAAGAGTCCACGGCGTATCGGTGGGCTCATGTCGCGTATAATGCGGCTGCCTTCTCTTTATGCGTTTGCTCGTGTGTCGCAATAAAACGCGCGTGCATATATTATGCAGTTTCCTTTTCACGAGGACCACCTAGACGGCCCATGAACATGGACAATGATGACCTAACCGTGTTCGATTCCGTTGGAATCTATGTATTCTTATACCCGTATACGCGCGAATCAAGCAATAAAATCCAATGAACGAAGGAAACGACCGATGATCGAATAATACAAGCTTCACTGTTAATATTAGTTTCGCAAACATGTTTCAAACCTCTATGCTTCCAATATATTCAGAAATTTTTTAATGAATTTTCCAGGAACGTTGGAAGCATACGTTTAAAATGGTTAATAACAGTTATTAGATAAAATGAAAGACATAGTAAAAAAGAAATGTTCAAATAATCCCCCCTTTTAATTTTTAGGCTTCCCAGGTGTACGTGACCCCTCAATAATTACCGGAGTACCAAAATGACTGTAACTTGGGAACAATGTCAAACGGGGCACACGTTTACAGGAACCTATTTCATTGTTCCTGCGTCCCCAATCCGCTGCTAAAAGTGGGTCTCGCATGCCACGATAGCTATACCTTTTATCCGAGCGATACGTATGGTACTCGACAAATGCCTTTTGTAGATATAAATAATGACGGTACGACTTCGGTAATTAAGTGGGAAGCGAGGCAGTGCTTCGAGCTACTAGACGTTAAGAGTCGTTCCTTTGTGGCCCGTACATATGCAATTTGATCCGGCTTGACGACTGACATGCGTACGCGACCCTTTCATACATTTAACTTGACCCCACGGCTACCAGAAGTCAAATATCTTGATCGTCGTCATCAGTCTCTGTCACTATCGTCGAAATGTCTCCGTATGTCTCTCCCCGTTGGTCAGAAACACGTCTGACGTCGCCTAGCCCCGAGAATCGGCATTTTTATCGCCGCTGGACGCGTATAAAATTGAATTTCAAGACAGACGAGACTCTTCGAACGTAAATTGCGACTGTACAATTTGTCAATCTTCTTCTACGTCTGAAAACTTTATCAGTTTTTGCGTGTAAATCGTCAGATTTGAAAAGCATAACTACGATCTTATTTTTAGGCCCCCCTCAGGAGTAGACTTGCGTATTAGAAAAATCTGCTCCACAAACAGTT